AAAAAAAAAAAAAAAAAAAAGACCAGCCTGGACTGCACAATCAGGCATTGTCTAAAAAAAAAGGTAAAAAATTATAATACTCAACCGTTGTCCCTTGGTGCTGAGAAGCCTATTTCAGGTCCACGCCCCCATGACGGACACCAGAATCCAGGTTCATCACACCACACAGCACTGCGTTTGCGTGGAAACCGCACGCAGCCTAAATCGCTCCTAGGTTACTCCCCACACCTAGTGCCAACAGCTGTCGTGCTGTGTTATAGAACAATGACAAGGAACAGGGCTTGCACAGGCTCAGTACAGTCCTACCTTGGGCACAAACACTTCTGATCTGTAGTCAGCTGACTCTAGGACTGCTGCACCCGCGGGTATGGAGGGCTGAGGCACACGTGAAACCACGCCCACCCTTCAGGTGACTGTTAAGGAGCCAAAGCTCCGTCCTCAGGTTTCCCACTCCAAGAGCCCACTCAACAGACAACACCCGTAAACACCCATACTCTGATAATATAACCATATACAAATTAGGCAAAGAATACAAAAAATGTTTTTAACATTTTCTCTTAGTCATTCTTTTTTTTGGATGATCAAAGGGTCTCTCCATGGACTACAGGCTGGCCTGGAGCTCACTCTGTAGCACAGGCTGGTCTCTAATTCATGATGACCCTCTTGCCTCAGCCTCCTGAGTGCTGGAATTACAGATGTGCAACATCATACCCAGCTAAACATTCTTTTTTTTTTTTTTGCAGAATCAGGGATTGAACTCAGGCCCTTGTGCTTGCCAGGGAAGCACGTATTCCACTGAGCCATCTCCGTGGCCCCAGCTAAACATTCTTCAGAGATTAGGAACTTCATAAGTATCCTCTTGTTATATTTAATTTTACTTTATGTATTTGGTACAGGGTCTCACTACACAGCGCGTACTCATAGTAATCCTGTTTTCAGCCTCCCCAGCACTGGGATTACAGGTGTGCACTACCACGCCAGGATGGACTCTGTGGCTGGCTCGGCAGCCCCCAGAGGGCCAGGCCTGTGTAACATGTGGTGCCAGGAATTGAACCCTGGTATCTGCGTTTGCCTAAGCAGGTGCTCAGTCCTCTTAGCTATCTTGCCTAAATTAAAATTAAAGTTTAATTTTAAAAAGGAAGTTCCCTATAGAAATCTTCTAGTAAAATCAGAACTCCAAGAAGAGGCACCATTTAACTTCAAGACGTTCACCAGCCACGACCCAGTGGTACTAATACCCAAGTACCCAAAGAAGCAGGAACACAGCTTGGAACCACTCCATCACCCCACTGTCTGCAGGAATTAGAACACAACACCAAGACCAGGATGCAGCCTCCCTGAACGAAGAACTTACATTCTCATGCTTCATGTGTTTCAGCAACCGAAGCTCTTGGTAGGTCCTTTTGGCGTGAATGATGGACTGAAACGGTCTGGACAGCTTCTTCACTGCCACACGCAACCCAGTTTTTGTGTCAAAGGCAGCACTACAGGGAGGGGGAAAAAACAACTATTAAAAGTGCTGTAAGTACTATTTTTAAAATATTTATAAGCCTATTTCATTTCCAAATTAAGTGGGTTATCATAAAATACAAAAAGCAAAGGCAAACAAAAACCAGAGGGAAAAAACTAAACAGATCCATAATTCTATTATCCAAAGGAAGCGTCTACTGCTTTTGGTATTTTTTTCTAGTCTTTTCTATACAGCTAAATCAGAGGTCGGTAATTTTTCTTTTCTTTTTTTCTGTAAAGGGCTGGACGGTAAGATTTCAGATTGTGGGCACCCTGAAGTCTGTCACAACTACTCAACTTGTGACTGGAGCCAGAAAGCAGCCAGATAATAAGATCAAAACAAAACAAAACATGGTGTGGCCACCTTTGGTGCTTTGCAAAAACAGGCAGTTGCCTAATCCAGATGAGCCAGCCTACTGATAAACACAGAGCTGGGTTCTTTCTGTCATCCTGCGCTGGCCGCCCTGTCACCTCGGCACCATACGCCGCCTGGCCACAGCACAGCCCTCCGTAACCAGTGTTTTCACAAAAATTAGCTAGCACAAAAATTTCCTGAAGACAAAATATTTGGCACTTTCTAGGGTCTGACATGCACCAGAAATTGCAACAACCCCGCCCCTGGGGAAAAAGGGGAGAGGAAGAGAGAGAGGGAGAAAGAGTGTATATGTGTGTGGGTGGGAGGGAGGGAGGGAGGGAGGGAGGGAGAGAGACAGAGAGGAAGAAGAGGAGGAGGAGGAGAGGGAGGAAAGGAGGAGGGAGGGGGAATAATTTTACATAGCGGTGGACACTATGATGCAATAAAACAGGAAGAGGGGGGACAGAGTGCCAGCGGTGCAGAGGGACAGAGCTAGATTTCTGGGACAGCACCAGCAAGAGTGTGACTACATGCCGTGATGAGGCTTTCTGGTTATTACCAGCTCTGTCCCCAACAAAGTGAATTTTGTGACTGTTTAACCCAGGAAGCTCCTTTTCCTTCATACATGTCCTTGTCCTCTACTCCCACGGTGAGAGGTTCCTCTACATCTGCAACCTTTCCCCACCTGACCTCCGGCCTCAACTCACGGCTTGGCTAATAAAGGCTGCCTGGCTTTCTCTCAGCCCTACCAGTAGAGGGCACCCGCGCAGGCCAGGCCCTGTGGTTAGCCGGCAGGATGGGCTCTTCAGGGCGGGCCCACACCTCTTCAAAGGCTTCCCATGTGTTTTCCAAAAGCCCCTGCTCACACGGCTTCTCCCTGCTGCTGTTATCTACTGACTTGAAAATCTATCTCCACTCCCAACTTCTGTCATCATTCTTGGCAATGGTCAGTACCCAGATGGAGGGCACATCAATGTCCTGTTTCCTGACCTCTTGAGGAAACCCCACCTCACTCAGCCACCTTCAGCTACCCCCAGCCCTTTTCCACCCCCACCAAAAGTGGCCTCCCTACAAAACTTGGCCGGCCTGCTCTGTTTCGGTCACAATCTTCCTGTGTCTCTCAGGTTATTTCTAGTGTACTCGCTCAGTGGCAACAATCACTTCTCTCCTTCCCTCCCTCTCCCCATCCGATGTTCTCATCTGGATAAAATGTAACCTTAGATGACCTTGACCATTTAACTCCCCAGGTCTGAATGCAAGCAACTAACTGTGGCTCAAGACAAAAACAATGCGTAACCAGGCATCTTGGCTGCATTTGTAATTTCTGACCTTGACGTCAAATAGGCTCTTGACGGTATCAGTCTTTCCTAGAGAGCTCCTCTGCCATCTTCCAAGTGACCGCTGCACTTTTTTCCTCAAAATCCCAACTCCCTCACTCCCTCGACAGTTAGTTGTTCTGGCCCTCGCTGAAACCATCAAGGTGAGCCCCGTGCCGGATCTACAAAGTCACCTTCCCCTGCGCCCCAGTCTCACTCATGCCCCTTCTCTGCCAAGCAGCCAGGACCTCCGCCCACGCGTACGTAGGACCCCTCCCGCACCTTCTCAAGGGCTCTGCTGCTTCTCTGCGGCGCCACTCTCCCCTCCCTCTACTGCATCATCTGTATTTTCTCAAGTTCTTTCTTTGATTCCAATACACACTGAGATTAAAGAACCACTAATTGAAACCGCTGCTGTTCGAAGTGTGCTCCACGGACCAGAAGCATTAGCAAGATCTGAGAGGGTGACAGAAATGCAGAATCCCAGATCCTAAAGTAGTATCTATATTTTGACAGGGTAAACAGGTTATTCACACTGCTTAAAGTTTAGGAAGTACCTGTTGCGGTTATGTCTAGCTGTCCCCGCAAAGCCTCATGCAGTCACGGTGGAGCTTTTGCAGAGGTGGCTGGATCCAGAGTGTGTGACTGATTCACGGTGCAAATCCACGGTCAAGGGCACTAGGATTAAGGGTGTGAATGCTACCTCCCCTAAATAGCCAGGATAAGGGACAGAAAGAGCTGTGGTCCCCCCTTGCTTGCTCTGCTCCCTTCTTCTGAACTGTTTCTCCCCTGTGATGTCGGTCTGCCACACCACCCTGCCTCGGAGCCGGCCGACTACACTGTGAAGCCTCCACACACTGAGCTACCCAGAGCTTTCTGTGTCCCCCCCATGCACTTCCTCTGCCCCAGCTCCACAAGCTGGCGCTCTGCAGGATGGGCCCCCGGCCCTCTCTCCCCTCCTGGCCCATCCCGTCCTCCTACATGCTCTCCACAACTTCAAATTAGACGCTGCCGAGCCGAGAGCTCCCTAACCTATTTCTGTTACTAAGATCTCTTCTCTGAGCTGACTACCACACATTTTCACATGAAAGACACATAAGCACCTCAAATGCAGCAAGTTCCAAACACCCAAGGTATTCCTCGCTGTCTCTGTCATCAAACAAGAAATGGCAGTCCACGCGGTCAAGATGAAATCTGAGTGTCATCTTTCCCTTCTTCCTTTCCCGCCAGCACCCTGGGCACCACCATCCAAATCTATCAGCAAGTACCGTGCTTTGTACCAGCAAAATACCCCAACTCAACTTCTCTTAACTTGCCCACTTATAATCAGTAGCATTAGTGGGCCTTCTGATCCTGGACTCTCTGCTTCCTGTTTTGCCTCTTTTGTATATTTTGTACTAGCACCCAATACAGTCTTCGAAACACAGCAGACGATGGCACTCAGGTGCTCTGAGCCATTCAAGGAATTTCTCTGGTATATGGAGCAGAATGCAGACTTCTCCACTGGGCTGCAAGGCCCAGGCATCTGCCCGACCTGACCCCAGAACACCACAACCCCCAACCTGACCCCCTCCCGGGCTGCCCCTCCCAGCCCCACGCCTGCTACTAAGATCTGAACACGCTGGCTTCTTTCAGTTCCTAAAACTATTCTGGACCAGCTGTTCCTGGTTCCAGAGAATCTCTTCAGAATCCTCACCCTCCTTCCACCCCATCACTCCACATCCTGCTCCTTCAAGGACCAGTGTGGTCACACCCTTGGAGATGTACCTGGAAGCTCACAAGCAGTCACCTTGGCAACACTTTCCTGGCTCCCTCTTCAGCTCACATCAAAGGGAAAGGGGCTCAGATCTCGGCCGCTCCTCTTCCTCCTCCTCCCCCACACAACAGTGACTTCTCTCTGAGAAGCACCAAGTTCATTTTTGCTCTTCTCTAAACTCGGTTCTCTAAACTGGCTCACAAGTGGGAAAATGGCCAAGGCTTCCATGTGACCCAGCTCCTTCAACTCTCCATCTCTAAGTATGGCTGCCCCTAAGGGCACCTGCTCGGCCCACATGGACCAGCTGGACTGCAGGTTCCTAGCTGGCCTGCCGGTGGCCCAGTGGGCATGCTCGAGGACTGAGGGGGAGGCGAAAAGCCCACCTGAATGACCCTCCCACGCACTCTCCACACCAGCTCCACAGTAACAGAAGGTGTGGAGGCCGGGGAGATGGCTCAGTGGAATAAACGCTCCCCTGGCAAGCGCAAGGGCCTGAGTTCAATCCCCAGTTCTGCACAAAATAAAATAAAAATAAAAACTCCAGGAGCTGCCCCATGACTGCATGAGGCTTTGGGGGAACAGTGAGACACAGTAACAGAGGGTGTGTTTTTATCTCTATGTGGCTCCATTATCTATTCACTGACAGGCAGGTGGGATTAATCAGTACCCTGCAGACCCCAATTAACACATATTATTAGCATATGTTTACTTTTACAACCCAGTAGAGTGGTTAAATATAAGCAAGGCTTTAGGATTAGACTGCCTGGATTTTAAATCCAGTTCTGCCACTAATTTCTGCATGGTTTTGAAGAATTTAATTAACTTCTTGCAATCTCATATATGAAATCAAGGTAATGTTTATATCTAATCTGTGGGGTGTCTGTTAGAATTAAAGGTGACTACTTTCACGGCAGATCTGGAAAAGAGGTGCTCGGGCCCAAGCATTAGATGGCTGTAACGTCTGCCTTTCCTTCTTGTGAGGGCAGCATGTTTATCTGTCTCACTGACTGCTCTAGTACAGCACTAGAGTATTGCCCAGCCTGTGGTACGCTAATAAAAGCTAATCATGTAGCCATTTCAAAATAAGAAAAACTTCACTTAACGATCAATTTTTCTAAATTTGACAGCATTCAAAAAGAAATTTATTTTTTTAACAAGAAATGTATATAAACTCTTAAAAACTAATATTTATTGAGTGCTTATCATTGCTAGGCACTCTTTTTAAGAATGGCAAGGTGGGGTTCCAATCCAGGTGAAGCCTTCCACCATGACCTCCCGAGCACTCCCCGCTGCCGCATATGCCGGGTTGCACTTCACTCTCAGTCTGTTGGAAAGATGCTCTAGTAGCAGGGACTGTTTCTTTTCTAAAATGCTTCCTACTACAACTAATTGTACTTCACAAAAAGTGGTATTTGTGATTTTTTTTTTTTTTTTTTTTTTTTTTTTTTTTTTTTTTTTTTTTTGGTGGAACCGGGGATTGAACTCAGGCCTGTGATCTTAATTGAACTCTGGTAGTATTGATGAAAGACACTTCGTAAGAAACAACTT